AAAACCCGTAGAATCTTCTCATCTCATTGCTAAGTATAAAACCCGTGGACCCCTTGAATAAAATGAGGTCACTTGAAGGGAACCGGGGTCGATACCCGGCGCTTCCTAATCTTACTATTTTTTGTCTTGGTGGCGATAAAAATTATTGTGAGTGGTTGTTGAGTATAAAGCACTTGTTCTATATTATCTTACTTGTTTATGTCTTGATGATGATAAAAATTATTGATTGAAGTATAAAACCCGTTGAATATTTGAATAAAATAGTGTCACTTGCCGCGGGCTTAGCTCAGTAGGTAGTGCGCTCGCTTTGCATGTGGCAGGTACCGGGATCGATATCCGGCGTTTACAAATCTTGCTATTTTATGTTTTGGTGGCTATAAATATTAATGTGTGTGGTTGTTGAGTACAAAACCCGTAAAACCTTTGAAAAAATTGGCATTACTTGCCGGGGGCGTAGCTCAATTGGTAGAGCGCTCGCTTGGCGTGTCAGAGGTACCGGGATCAATACCCGGCGCTTCCAAGCCTTACTTTTTTATGTCTTGGTGACGATGAAAATTATTGTGAGTCATTGCTAAGTATAAAGCCCGCAGACTCTTTGAATAAAATGAAGTCATTTGAAGGGTACCGGTGTCGATACTCGGCGCTTGCAAATCTTACTATTTTATGTCTTCGTGATTATGTGATTATTAAGAATAAAACCCGTAGAATCTTTGAATAAAATAATATCACTTGCCGGGGGCGTAGCTCAATTGGTAGAGTGCTCGCTTTGCATGTGAGAGGTACCGGGATCGATACGCGGCGCTTCCAAATCTTACTATTTTATGTCTTGGTGGCGATAAAAATTGATGTGAGAGGTTGTTGCTTAGCATGTGAGAAGTGCCAGGATCGATACCCGGCACTTCCAAATCCTACTTTTTTATGTCTTGGCGATGATAAAAATTGTTGTGAATGATTTTTAAGTATAAAACCCGTAGAAACTATGAATAAAATAATGTCATTCGGCGGGGGCGTAACTCAATTGCATGTGAGGGGTAACGTGATCGATACCTGGCGCTTCCAAATCTTACTTTTTTATGTCTTGGTGACGATGAAAATTATTGTGAGTCATTGCTAAGTATAAATCCCGTGGACCCCATGAATAAAATGAAGTCACTTGAAGGAAACCGGGGTTGATACCCGGCGCTTCCAAATCTTACTATTTTATATCTTGGTAACTTCCAAATCTTACTTTTTTATGTCTTCGTGATGATAATGTGATTGTTAAGTATAAAACCCGTAGAATCTTTGAATAAAATAATGTCACTTGCCGGGGGCGTAGCTCAGTTGGTAGACCGCTCGCTTTACATGTGAGAGGTACCGGGATTAATACCCGGCACTTCCAAATCTTTCTATTTTATGCCTTGGTGGCGATAAAAATTGATGTGAGTGGTTGTTGCTTAGCATGTGAGAAGTACCGGGATTGATACTCCGTAATCCTACTTTTTTATATCTTGGTGATGATAAAAATTGTTGTGAATGATTGTTAAGTATAAAACCCCTAGAAACTATGAATAAAATAATGTCATTCGGCAGCACTCGCTTTGCATGTGAGATGTACCGGAATCGATACCCGGCGTTTCCAAATCTTACCATATTATGTTTTGGTGGCGATAAAAATTGATGTAAGTGGTTGTTGAGTACAAAACCCGTGAAACCTTTGAATAAAATGGCGTTACTTGCCTGGGGGTTAGCTCAAGTTTTTAAGTGCTCGCTTAGCATGTGAGAGATGCCGGGATCGATACCCGGCGCTTCCAAATCCTGCTTTTTCATGTCTTGGTGATGATAAAAATTGTTGTGAATGATTGTTAAGTATAAAACCCGTAAAACTTTGAATAAAATAGTACCACTTGGCGGGGGCGTAGCTCAATTGGTAGAGCGCTCGCTTTGCATGTGAGGGATACCGGGATATATACCCGGCGTTTCTAAATCTTGCTATTTTATGTTTTGGTGGCGATAAATATTGATGTGAGTGGTTGTTGACTACAAAACCCGTGAAATCTTTGAACAAAATGGCGTTAATTGCCGAAGGCGTAGCTTAAGTGGTTAAGAGCTCGCTTAGCAGCTGAGAGATGCCGGAATCGAAATCCGGCGCTTTCAAATCTTACTATTTTTTGTCTCGGTGGCAATAAAAATTATTGAGAGTGGTTGTTTAGTATAATACACGTGAAACCTTTGCTTAGGATGTGAGAGGTACCAGGATCGATGCCCGGCGCTTTTAAATCTTACTTTGCTATATCTTCGTGTTGATAAAAATTGATTGTTAAGTAAGTATAAAACCCGTAGAATATTTGAATAAAACAGGCTCACTTGCCTGGGGCGTAGCTAAAATAGTTGAGCGCTTGCTTAGCATGTGTGAGGTACCGGGATCTATACCGGTGCTTCCGCTTGTTATTATTTTTTGTCTCGGTGGCGATAAAAATTATCGTGAGTGGTTGTTTAGTATAAAACATGTGAAACCTTTGATTAACATGTGAGAGGTACCAGGATCGATGCCCGGCGCTTCCAAATCTTACTTTTTTACGTCTTGGTGATGATAAAAATTATTGTGAGTCTCTCTCTTTCTACTTGTTAAGTATAAAACGCGTAGAATCTTTAAATAAAATAATGTCAATTGCCGAGAGCGTAGCTCAATTGGTAGAGCGCTCGCTTTGCGTGTGAGAGGTATCGGGATCGATACCTGGCGCTTCCAAATCTTACTGTTATATGTCTTGGTGGCGATAAAAATTGATGTGAGTGGTTGTTACTTAGCATGTGAGAAGTGCCGGGATCGATACCCGGCGCTTCCAAATCCTACTTTTTTATGTCTTGGTGATGATAAAAATTGTTGTGAATAAATGTTAAGTATAAAACCCGTAGAATCTCTGAATAAAATAATGTTGCTTCTAGGGGGCGTAGCTCAATTGGTAGAGCGCTTGCTTTGCACGTGAAAAATACTGGGATCGATACCCGGCGTTTCCAAACCTTACTATTTTATGTTTTGGTGGCGATAAATATTGATGTGTGTGGTTGTTGAGCACAAAACCCGTAAAACCTTTGAAAAAATTGGCGTTACTTGCCTGGGGCGTAGCTCAAGTAGTTAAGCGCTCGCTTAGCATGTGAGAGATTCCGGGATCGATATCCGGCGCTTTCAAATCTTACTGTTTTTTGTCTTGGTGGCGATAAAATTTATTGTGAGTGGTTGTTGAGTATAAAACACGTGAAACCTTTGCTTAGCATGTAAGAGATACCAGGATCGATGCCAGGCGCTTCCAAGTCTTACTTTTTTACGTCTTGGTAATGATAAAAATTATTGTCTCTTTCTTTCTCTTTGTTAAGTATAAAACCCGTAGAATCTTTAAAATAAGGTCACTTGCCGGGGGCGTAGCTCAAATGGTTGAGCGCTCGCTTAGCATGTGCAAGGTATCGGGATCGATACCCGGCGCTTCCAAATGTTACTATTTTATGTCTTGGTGGCGATAAAAATTGATGTGAGTGGTTGTTGCTTAGCATGTGAGAAGTACCGGGATCGATACCCGGCGCTTCCAAATCCTACTTTTTTATGTTTTGGTGATAATAAAAATTGTTGTGAATGATTGTTAAGTATAAAACCCGTAGAATCTTTGAATAAAGTAATGTTACTTCCAGGGGGCGTAGCTAAATTCGTAGAGCGCTTGCTTTGCACGTGAAAGGTACCGGGATCGATACCCGGCTTTAATACGTGAAACCTTTGCTTAGCATGTGAGAGGTATATCATTGCTAAGTATAAAACCCGTGGACCCCTTGAATAAAATGAGGTCACTTGAAGGGAACCGGGGTTGATACCCCCGGGGTTGATGTCTTGGTGATGATAAAAATTGATGTGAGAGGTTATTGGTTAGCAGGTGAGAAGTACCAGGATCAATACCCGGCGCTTCCAAAGCCTACTTTTTTATGTCTTGGTGATGATAAAAATGGTTGTGAATGATTGTTAAGTATAAAACCCGTAGAAACTATGAATAAAATAGTGTCATTCGGCGGGGGCGTTGCTCAATTGGTACAGCGCTCGCTTTGCATGTAAGGGGTAACGTGATCGATACCCGGCGCTTCCAAATCCTACTTTTTTATGTCTTGGTGATGATGAAAATTATTGTGAGTCATTGCTAAGTATAAAACCCGTGGACCCCTCGAATAAAATGAGGTCACTTGAAGGGAACCGGGGTTGATACCCGGCGCTTCCAAATCTTACTATTTTATATCTTGGTAACTTCCAAATCTTACTTTTTTATGTCTTCGTGATGACAATGTAATTGTTAAGTATAAAACCCGTAGAATCTTTGAATAAAATAATGTCGCTTGTCGGGGGCGTAGCTCAATTGGTAGAGCGCTCGCTTTGCATGTGAGACGTACCGGGATCAATACCCGACGCTTCCAAATCTTACTTTTTTATGTCTTGGTGACGATGAAAATTATTGAGAGTCATTGCTAAGTATAAAGCCCGTAGATTCTTTGAATAAAATGAGGTCATTTGAAGGGTACCGGTGTCTATACCCGGCGCTTCCAAATATTACTATTTTATGTCTTCGTGATGATAATGTGATTATTTAGAATAAAACCCGTAGAATCTTTGAATAAAATAATGTCACGTGCCGGGTGCGTAGCTCAGTTGGTAGAGTGCTCGTTTTGCATGTGAGAGGTACCGGAATCGATACGCGGCGCTTCCAAATCTTACTATTTTATGTCTTTGTGGCGATAAAAATTGATGTGAGAGGTTGTTGCTCAGCATGTGAGAAGTACCAGGATCGATACCCGGCACTTCCAAATCCTACTTTTTTATTTCTTGGTGATGATAAAAATTGTTGTGAATGATTGTTAAGTATAAAACCCGTAGAAACTATGAGTAAAATAATGTCATTCGGCGGGGGCGTAGATCAATTGGAACAGCGCTCGCTTTGCATGTGAGGTGTAACGTGATCGATACCCGGCGCTTCCAAATCTTACTTTTTTATGTCTTGGTGACGATGAAAATTATTGTGAGTCATTGATAAGTATAAAACCGGTGCACCCCTTGAATAAAATGAGGTCACTTGAAAGGAACCGGGGTTGATACCCGGCGCTTCCAAATCTTACTATTTTATATCTTGGTAACTTCCAAATCTTACTTTTTTATGTCTTCGTGATGATAATGTGAGTGATTGTTAAGTATAAAACCCGTAGAGTCTTTGAATAAAATAATGTCACTTGCCGGGGGCGTAGCTCAGTTGGTAGAGCGCTCGCTTTGCATGTGAGAGGTACCGGGATTAATACCCGGCACTTCCAAATCTCTCTATTTTATATCTTGGTGGCGATAAAAATTGATGTGAGTGGTTGTTGCTTAGCATGTGAGAAGTACCGGGATCGATACCCGGCGATTCCAAATCCTACTTTTTTCTGTTTTGGTGATGATAATAATCGTTGTGAATGATTGTTAAGTATTAAACCCGTAGAAACTTGGTATAAAATAATGTCACTTTTCGGGGGCGTAGCTCAATTGGTAGTGCGCTCGCTTTGCATGTGAGAGGGTACCGGGGTCGATACCGACGCTTCCAATCTTACTAATTATATCTTGGTAACTTCAAATTCTCACTTTTTTATATCTTCGTGATGACAATGTAATTGTTAAGTATAAGAACCGTAAATCTTTGAATAGAAGAATGTCGCTTGCGGGGGCGTAGCTCAGTGGTATAGCGCTCGATTTGCATGTGAGAGGTACCAGGGATCGATACAGGCGCTTCCAGATCTTACTATTTATATCTTGGTAACTTCCAAATCTTACTTTTTTATGTTTTCGCGATGATAATGTAATTGTTAAGTATAAAACCCGTAGAATCTTTGAATAAAATAATTCCGCTTGCCAGGGGCGTAGCTCAATTGGTAGAGCGCTTGCTTTGCACGTGCAAGGTAACGGATCGATACCCGGCGTTTCCAAATCTTACTATTTTATGTTTTGGTGGCGATAAATATTGATGTGAGTGGTTGTTGAGTACAAAACCCGTAAATCCTTTGAAAAAAAATGGCGCCCTCACTTTGCATGCGAGAGGTACCAGGAACGATACCCGGTGCTTCCAAATCCTACTTTTTTATGTCTTGGTGATGATAAAAATTCTCGTGATTGATTGTTAAGTATAAAACCCGTAGAATACTTGAATAAAATAATGTCACTTCCAGGGGGCGTAGCTCAATTGGTTGAGAGCTCGCTTAGCATGTGAGAAGTGAGTGGTTGTTGAGTATAAAACTCGTGAAACCATTGCTTAGCATGTGAGACATACCAGGACCGATGCCAGGCGCTTCCAAGTCTTACTTTTTTATATCTTGGTGATGATAATAATTATTGTCTCTCTCTCTTTCTCTTTGTTAAGTATAAAACCTGTAGAATCTTTGAATAAAATACTTGCCGGGGCGTAGCTCAATTGGTAGAGCACTCGCTTTGCATGTGAGAGGTACCGGGGTCGATACCCGGCGCTTCCAAACCTTACTATTTTATATCTTGGTGGCGATAAAAATTGATGTCAGTGGTTGTTGCTTAGCATGTGAGAAGTACCGGGATCGATACTCCGTAATCCTACTTTTTTATATCTTGGTGATGATAAAAATTGTTGTGAATGATTGTGAAGCATAAAACCCGTAGAAACTATGAATAAAATAATGTCATTTGACGGGGGCGTAGCTCAATTGGTAGAGCGCTCGCTTTGCATGTGAGAGGTACCGGGATCGATCCAAATCTTACTGTTTTATGTATTGGTGGCGATAAATTTTGATGTGTGTGGTTGTTGAGTACAAAACCCGTAAAACCTTTGAAAAAATTGGCGTTACTTGCCTGGGGCGTAGCTCAAGTAGTTAAGCGCTCGCTTAACATGTGAGAGATTCCGGGATCGATATCCGGCGCTTTCAAATCTTACTATTTTTTGTCTTGGTGGCGATAAAAATTACTGTGAGTGGTTGTTGAGTATAAAACACGTGAAACCTTAGCATGTAAGAGGTACCAGGATCGATGCCCGGCGCTTCCAAGTCTTACTTTTTTACGTCTTGGTGATGATAAAAATTATTGTGAGTGTCTCTTTCTTTCTCTTTGTTAAGTATAAAACCCGTAGAATCTTTGAATAAAATAATGTTACTTCCGGGGGCGTAGCTCAATTAGTAGAGCGCTTGCTTAGCACGTGAAAGGTGCCAGGATCGATACCCGGCGTTAACACGTGAAACCTTTGCTTAGCATGTGAGAGGTACCATGATCGATGCCCAGCGCTTCAAAATCTTACTTCTTTATGTCTTGGTGATGATAAAAATTCATGTGAGTGTCTCTTTCTTTCTCTTTGTTAAGTATAAAACCCGTAGAATCTTTCAATAAAATAATGTCACTTGCCGGGGGCGTTGCTCAATTGGTAGAGCGCTCGCTTTGCATGTGAGAGGTACCGTGATCGATACCCGGCGCTTCCAAATCTTACTATTTTATGTCTTGGTGGCGATAAAAATTGATGTGAGAGGTTGTTGCTTAGCATGTGAGAAGTACCAGGATCAATAAATGGCGCTTCCAAATCCTACTTTTTTATGTCTTGGTGATGATAAAAATTGTTGTGAATGATTGTTAAGTATAAAACCCGTAGAAACTATGAATAAAATAATGTCATTCGGCGGGGGCGTAGCTCAATTGGTACAGCGCTCGCTTTGCATGTGAGGGGTAACGTGATCGATACCCGGAGCTTCCAAATCCTACTTTTTTATGTCTTGGTGACGATGAATATTATTGTGAGTCATTGCTAAGTATAAAACCCGTGGAGCCCTTGATAAAAATGAGGTCACTTGAAGGGAACCGGGGTTGATACCCGGCGCTTCCAAATCTTACTATTTTATATCTTGGTAACTTCCAAATTTTACTTTTTTATGTCTTCGTGATGACAATGTAATTTTTAAGTATAAAACCTTGGTAGAGCGCTCGCTTGGCGTGTCAGAGGTACCGGGATCAATACCCGGCGCTTCCAAATCTTACTTTTTTATGTCCTGGTGACGATGAAAATTATTGTGAGTCATTGCTAAGTATAAAGCCCGTAGACTCTTTGAATAAAATGAGGTCATTTGAAGGGTACCGGTGTCGATACTCGGCGCTTCCAAATCTTACTATTTTATGTCTTCGTGATGATGTGATTATTAAGAATAAAACCCGCAGAATCTTTGAATAAAATAATATCACTTGCCGGAAGCGTAGCTCAATTGGTAGAGTGCTCGCTTTGCATGTGAGAGGTACCGGGATCGATACGCAGCGCTTCCAAATCTTACTATTTTATGTCTTGGTGGCGATAAAAATTGATGTGAGAGGTTGTTGCTTAGCATGTGAGAAGTGCCAGGATCGATACCCGGCACTTCCAAATCCTACTTTTTTATGTCTTGGTGATGATAAAAATTGTTGTGAATGATTTTTAAGTATAAAACCCGTAGAAACTATGAATAAAATAATGTCATTCGGCGGAGGCGTAACTTAATTGCATGTGAGGGGTAACGTGATCGATACCTGGCGCTTCCAAATCTTACTTTTTTATGTCTTGGTGACGATGAAAATTATTGTGAGTCATTGCTAAGTATAAAACCCGTGGACCCCTTGAATAAAATAAGGTCACTTGAAGGGAACCGGGGTTGATACCCGGCGCTTCCAAATCTTACTATTTTATATCTTGGTAACTTCCAAATCTTACTTTTTTATGTCTTCGTGATGATAATGTGATTGTTAAGTATAAAACCCGTAGAATCTTTGAATAAAATAATGTCACTTGCCGGGGGCGTAGCTCAGTTGGTAGACCGCTCGCTTTACATGTGAGAGGTACCGGAATTAATACCCGGCACTTCCAAATCTTTCTATTTTATGTCTTGGTGGCGATAAAAATTGATGTGAGTGGTTGTTGCTTAGCATGTGAGAAGTACCGGGATCGATACCCGGCGCTTCCAAATCCTACTTTTTTATGTTTTAGTGATGATAAAAATCGTTGTGAATGATTGTTAAGTATAAAGCCCGTAAAAAACTTGGTATAAAATAATGTCACTTTGCGGAAGCGTAGCTCAATTGGTAGAGCGCTCGCTTTGCATGTGAGAGGTACCGGGATCGATACGCGACGCTTCCAAATATTACTAATTTATATCTTGGTAACATCCAAATCTTACTTTTTTATGTCTTCGTGATGACAATGTAATTGTTAAGTATAAAACCCGTAGAATCTTTGAATAAAATAATGTCGCTTGCCGGGGGCGTAGCTCAATTGGTAGAGCGCTCGGTTTGCATGTGAGTGGTACCGGGATCGATACCCGGCGCTTCCAAATCTTACTATTTTATATCTTAGTAACTTCCAAATCTTACTTTTTTATGTTTTCGTGATGATAATGTAATTGTTAAGTATAAAACCCGTAGAATA